TCACTTCCACACTCTCTGCCGCTCTCACTTCCTCACTCTCTGCCGCTCTCACTTCCTCACTCACTGCCGCTCTCACTTCCTCACTCACTGCCGCTCTCACTTCCACACTCTCTGCCGCTCTCACTTCCACACTCTCTGCCGCTCACTTCCACACTCAGTGCCGCTCTCACTTCCACACTCTCTGCCGCTCTCACTTCCTCACTCACTGCCGCTCTCACTTCCACACTCTCTGCCGCTCTCACTTCCACACTCTCTGCCGCTCACTTCCACACTCAGTGCCGCTCTCACTTCCACACTCTCTGCCGCTCTCACTTCCACACTCTCTGCCGCTCTCACTTCCTCACTCTCTGCCGCTCTCACTTCCACACTCTCTGCCGCTCTCACTTCCACACTCTCTGCCGCTCACTTCCACACTCACTGCCGCTCTCACTTCCACACTCTCTGCCGCTCACTTCCACACTCACTGCCGCTCTCACTTCCTCACTCTCTGCCGCTCTCACTTCCTCACTCTCTGCCGCTCTCACTTCCTCACTCTCTGCCGCTCTCACTTCCTCACTCTCTGGCGCTCTCACTTCCAAACTCTCTGCCGCTCTCACTTCCTCACTCTCTGCCGCTCTCACTTCCACACTCTCTGCCGCTCTCACTTCCTCACTCTCTGGCGCTCTCACTTCCAAACTCTCTGCCGCTCTCACTTCCACACTATCTGCCGCTCTCACTTCCACACTCTCTGCCGTTCTCACTTCCTCACTCTCTGCCGTTCTCACTTCCTCACTCTCTGGCGCTCTCACTTCCAAACTCTCTGCCGCTCTCACTTCCACACTATCTGCCGCTCTCACTTCCACACTCTCTGCCGCTCTCACTTCCTCACTCTCTGCCGCTCTCACTTCCACACTCTCTAACGCTCTCACTTCCTCACTCTCTGGCGCTCTCACTTCCAAACTCTCTGCCGCTCTCACTTCCACACTATCTGCCGCTCTCACTTCCACACTCTCTGCCGCTCTCACTTCCACACTCTCTGCCGCTCTCACTTCCTCACTCTCTGCCGCTCTCACTTCCTCACTCTCTGCCGCTCTCACTTCCACACTCTCTGCCGCTCTCACTTCCACACTCTCTGCCGCTCTCACTTCCACACTCTCTGCCGCTCTCACTTCCACACTCTCTGCCGCTCTCACTTCCACACTCACTGCCGCTCTCACTTCCACACTCACTGCCGCTCTCACTTCCTCACTCTCTGGCGCTCTCACTTCCAAACTCTCTGGCGCTCTCACTTCCTCACTCTCTGCCGCTCTCACTTCCACACTCTCTGCCGCTCTCACTTCCTCACTCTCTGGCGCTCTCACTTCCAAACTCTCTGCCGCTCTCACTTCCACACTATCTGCCGCTCTCACTTCCACACTCTCTGCCGTTCTCACTTCCTCACTCTCTGCCGTTCTCACTTCCTCACTCTCTGGCGCTCTCACTTCCAAACTCTCTGCCGCTCTCACTTCCACACTATCTGCCGCTCTCACTTCCACACTCTCTGCCGCTCTCACTTCCTCACTCTCTGCCGCTCTCACTTCCACACTCTCTAACGCTCTCACTTCCTCACTCTCTGGCGCTCTCACTTCCAAACTCTCTGCCGCTCTCACTTCCACACTATCTGCCGCTCTCACTTCCACACTCTCTGCCGTTCTCACTTCCTCACTCTCTGCCGTTCTCACTTCCACACTCTCTGCCGCTCTCACTTCCACACTATCTGCCGCTCTCACTTCCACACTCTCTGCCGTTCTCACTTCCTCACTCTCTGCCGTTCTCACTTCCTCACTCTCTGCCGCTCTCACTTCCTCACTCTCTGCCGCTCTCACTTCCTCACTCTCTGCCGTTCTCACTTCCACACTCTCTGCCGCTCTCACTTCCACACTCTCTGCCGCTCTCACTTCCACACTCTCTGCCGCTCTCACTTCCACACTCTCTGCCGCTCTCACTTCCACACTCTCTGCCGCTCTCACTTCCACACTCACTGCCGCTCACTTCCACACTCACTGCCGCTCTCACTTCCACACTCACTGCCGCTCTCACTGCCACACTCTCTGCCGCTCTCACTGCCACACTCTCTGCCGCTCTCACTGCCACACTCTCTGCCTCTCTCACTTCTTCACTCTCTGCCGCTCTCACTGCCGCTCTCACTTCCACACTTTGATGGCAACCTTGCATCAAATACCAATAAAACTAATCTAACATTACAATCTGATTGTTGTAATGGAAATAAGACTCCAGGAAGCAGTATCACTCCCTCTGAAGTCTTTCTGAACATATGCTATCTTTTCTCAGCTTCAGACGTTTAACAATGCATCCTGGGAAAACCGTTTTCAGTCTAGAAGGCATTTTATGGGAGAAGTTGCCAATGAATGTTGAGGTTGTGATCGTACACACACACACACACACACACACACACACACAAAATTAATTCAATTAAATAAAATTAAATAAAAATCACTAACCACGCACAATACACACTCACTCAAATTAACTGGCATAGTCTGGAAACAGACCAGAACTTAAGTATAGTGGTACACTGGCTGCCACTGTAGACATCAAGGCAAGGCAAGTTTATTTATATAGCACATTTCATACACAATGGCAATTCAAAGTGAAAAATCAAAGTAAAATAATCAAAACAAATAAGAATAATTAAAACAGTTTAGAATAAAAAAAATAAAGTAGTACTGGTCCACCCCTATCTGAGATGGAAGAGATTGAGCCGGTTTACGGTGCCACTGAGCCTCTAGCCCAGGGACATACTCTGCTGGGGTGGTGCTACACCAGTAATGCCCAGCGGGGCCCCCACAGAGCACGCTTCGTGTGCGCTGTCTGCTGCCGTTACCCTTAACGACGCTCTCAGCGACTTCTTATACAGCAGTATAACTTACTCCTTCACTCGCCTCATCGGAGTGAAGACTCTCCCGCTCTCCTTCAAAATCTCTTCCAGAGATTATAAAAATAAATAAATTAGAAATTAGAAAACAAACAAAGACAAAACCAGTACAGTAAAAACAGTCGGACGAACAGTGGCACAGTGCTCATTCAGTAAATGCATAGCTAAACAGTTGTGTTTTGAGTCTGGATTTGAATGTGACTACTGTAGGAGCACATCTGATCTCCTCTGGAAGCTGGTTCCAGCTGCGGCTGGCATAATAGCTAAAAGCAGACTCTCCATGCTTAGAGTGAACTCTTGGTATTTCTAGCTGATGTGATCCTAATGATCTGAGTGATCTGTTAGGTTTATATTCAGTGAGCATATCTGCAATATATTGAGGTCCTAAACCATTGAATGATTTATATACCAGTAATACTATTTAAAATCAATCATAAATGGAACTGGGAGCCAGTGTAGATACCTGAGGACTGGTGTGATATGTTCATATTTTCTGGTTCTGCTCAGAATCCTGGCAGCAGCGTTCTGTATGAGCTGCAACTGTCTTATGGTCTTTTTAGGAAGGCCAGTGAGGAGTCCATTACAATAATCCACCCTGCTGGTAAAAAAAACCTTGCACAAGTTTCTCTAAGTCTTGACTGGAAACAAAGCATCTAATTCTTGCAATATTTTTCAAATGATAGTATGCTGATTTAGTTATTGCTTTGACATGACTACTGAAACTAAGATCTGACTCTAAAGACACACCAAGATTCCTGACTTGATTTTTAGTTGTTAGACCCCTAGCGTCAAGGTATGCATTCACCTTGAGAACTTCATCTTTGTTTCCAAACGCAATGACTTCAGTTTTGTCTTTGTTTAACTGAAGAAAGTTTTGGCACATCCAACTGTTTACTTCATCAATGCATTGGCACAGGGAGTCAATGGGGCTGTAGTCGTTAGGCGATAGGGCTAAGTAGAGCTGTGTGTCGTCTGCATAGCTGTGGTAAGCAATTTTGTTCTTTCTCATTATTTGGCTCATTGGGAGCATGTACAGGTTGAACAGGAGTGGCGCAAGAATTGAGCCTTGGGGGACTCCGCATGTCATGGATGTCCACTCAGACTTATGGTCTCCTATACTCACATAATAACCTCTCCCTTCTAAGTATGACCTGAACCATTTTAGGACTATCCCAGAAAGCCCCACCCAGTTTTCCAGCCTGTCAAGAAGTATGTTGTGATCGACAGTGTCAAATGCAGCACTGAGGTCGAGTAGTACCAGCACTGATAATTTGCCTGTATCAGTATTTAAGCGAATATAATTTATTATCTTTATGAGCGCTGTCTCTGTGCTGTGATGCAATCGGAAACCAGATTGAAAATTGTCAAAGTATCCATTTGAGCTTAAGAATTTGTTCTCCTCATTGAAGACAACTGTTTCAATGATGTTGCCTATGAAAGGAAGATTTGAGATCGGTCTATAATTGCTTAAGATGGTCTTATCCAGATTGCTCTTTTTCAGGAGGGGCTTGACAACTGCAGTTTTCAGGGAGTTTGGAAAACTCCCAGAGAGAAGTGAGGCATTTACCACTTCTAGGAGATCTGCTTATAAGCTGTTTAACACACTTTTGAAAAAAGATGTTGGAAGTGTGTCAAGGGCGCAGGTTGATGTTTTAAGGTGCTGTACGGTTTCTTCCAAAACTTTGCCTTCAATTTCTTCGAAAACAGACATAGGTAACTACTTTCTCAGGTTGTGGTCTGATCTGTCTGACCCCAGTGCGGCTCAGTGATGTGCTGACCACCTTTCTGATATTATTGATTTTCTCAGAGAAGAAAGAAGCAAACTCACTGCACTTGCTGTCTGAGAGCATTTCACTGGGAATCTGGCTTGGGGGGTTTGTCAGTCTCTCTATAGTAGCAAAAAGTGTGCGTGTGTTGTTTAAGTTTCAGTTTATAATATTCGAGAAGAAAGTCTGTCTAGCTTTGCCTAGTTCAATATTAAAAGCATGGATGCTATCTTTGTTGATGTTATAATGGACTACAAGTTTTGTCTTCCGCCACATGCGCTCTGCTCTTCTGCATTGTCTTTTCAAATTTTGCACACTCTCATGAAACTCCCTTTTAGACATTTAAGATGTAAAATACCAAAACATCTCAAAAGATATAGAGCCCCTCATTTCAGTGGCACAGTTTCTCAAGGAGTGATTCCTCTGCCTAGGTGGGCCCCCACAGTTCCTGGACCCTGTTGTTGCAGAGTCTTGAGCCGAAAATAAATAAATTCAAAGGCAAAACGATAACGATAATAGAGGAGTCACAGTTTTGGTGACAAGTTGTGGGTGTTGTAGTGTTAATGGGTCTAAATCACAGTATCTTTGGTGAATTCCCCACAATCTTATTAATTCAGAAGTCTTTTCTTCTGTATCTATCTTTACACTCCTCAGCCACTGGTGAGTCTCTGCTTCTCTTTCCAGTGCCCTTTGACCTCTGGACCCTGCATTACTCCCTTTTCAGGAATCTGACACTCCAGAGAAGTCCATGTTGAGGTCCCTTGTGATGTACTTCCTCTGACGCACCGTCTTCTCTTCATCCTACACAAAATATTTTTAATTTCACCGGTTATGAGGTTAGTTACTGCGTTAACTGTGGGTTAACTTTTAACACCACATATAAAAGGTTGTGTGAGTGTATAAATATACTCACTGTTGTGAAGATCCCATTTGGTCCCCATTCTCCAGGAGACTGGTCCTCTGGGTCTTCAGCCTCTTCTTCTTCTTCTTCCTCACCCTCACCCTCACACTCCTCCTCTCTCACTGTGTCCATCCCATCCTCCTCGTACTCTGTCGCATAGTCAGACTCCTCTGCTAGACACAGAAACATCAGTTAACCAGAAGTACAATGTACAGCAAGTACATTATATAATACTAACTCTGTCAAGAGTTGCAGAAGAAATGTTCTTTGGGTAACTGACCATCAGCTCCTAAGTAGCTTTGTACTGGCTCAATCCTGGACACAATTTCAGCTAGATCGGTGAAGTCTGCACTAGGACACGTGCACGACTGAAACAAACAGCCAAGCACAAGAGAATGATGTTAATAGTCAAAAAAGGGTGATTGAATGATGGCTTGTTTAAATGAGTACTAAGAAAACTCACATCGGTCTTCTTGCTGTCATTATAGTCCGCTGAGCGATGGTCTTTCAGCATATCAATGATGTCCCCACGAGCCCACTCAGTAAACATCAGTTTACCATGCTGGTAACCCACATCCTGAAAGACGACAGAAAACTTTCATTATGCCGTTGTGGGAGGTCATTTACTACTCGGAATAACAGCTATATGCACACATATTGTAGATATGGCCTTTTGTGTTCTGTTCTTACATAGATTTCATCAAATTTCCCAAAGTCCATAGTCTTAAAGCGGTCGATGGGTGGGCAAATGTACTCGCAGTATGCACTCTTCTTGACAAGTTCCAGCTGTCGTACACAGGATACGTAGGCCAAACGGGACTGGATTTCTGCCATGTCAGGCACCTGAAAGACAGAGGAACCTCTATTATTACAGTAATGTACCAAATGAGAGGGTTTCCTGTATATAGTTTACAGCATTCATTTGGAGAGGTTTTTTTTCCCTAAACAAAATCAGAATCGGTAGATATCATTCTGAGTAATCGGTATCGGATACATTTTTTACATTTAACATCCAACAATATTGACTCACCTTCACTTTCTCAGCCCACGGGTTGAATCGTTTCCATAGCAGCCACCAGCCAGAAAGACTGTCACCGTAGTTACAGAGATCAGTCTCATCCTGGCTGCCCACATCAATGGCGATGACTGTTTTTGTGCCCATATTGCGAGCTATGTCCGCTGCAGGGCGTTACAATGCCAGTTGAATGCAAACAAATGCACACGCACACACACAAAGACAGACATCCACAAGGTAGCAGGAAGAATCAAAGTACTGTTAATATTTCAGACAAAATCCTTCAAGTAATAACTGATCACCAATCAACACCGTTTCACCAAACCCCAAATTGGAAAGGTGCTATTTTCATCAGGAATATGACCGAATAAACATGTTCAAAAGTAAGACATTTTAAAACTAAATGATTTCTAAAAGCTTTCGCTGCATGAGAGTTGTGGTGAAACAGCCTTGCAGGCAGGGGCGTAGCACCAAATTTTGGGCCCTGGGTACAAACCATCTTGCTGGGCTCCCGTACCAAATATCATAGTGATACCAGTGGGTTGGGGTATTGCATTTTTATCATAAAAACACTTAAAATGTAAACAAAATAAGCCACACTCTGATTAATATTTTTTTGTTTTATTGTCAAAAGTACTACTTACTGAGATGACAAAAGGTCTAGCAGGTCCAAACCTGGACTAAATCAAATATACTGTAAAGCAGTTCTGAACAATGACCATACCAAATGAGAAAAACTTTGGTCTGTACATTAATAAACACAAACTAAATGTCAGTTTTTACTAAATGCCCATAGACGGGTGCAAATTTGCTGATCAGGTCTTTAAAGTCCAGTTTTTTGGCCAACTGACTTTCTACAGAGAGTATGGCAAGGCTGTTCAGTCTATCCTGGGACATTGTTGACAATTTATTAGCAAGGCAACGTTTCGACCATCAGATCTTCATCAGGCACAATACCTATTGTGCCTGATGAAGACCTGATGGTCGAAACTTTGCCTTGCTAATAAATTCTTTGGAGCAGCTTTTTCAGTGTGCGGACTTCACACTTCTTTTTTTCATTTGTATTACTCAGTTGTCCTGCACCTGCGCCCAATCTGGGTGTTTGGGATGTGCACACCAGTTGTGTATTTTGTGATATTTCCAATACCAGGTTTTGCTCCACCTTCACTGGCTAGCATTTGAACAATAGTTTTCCTGTGCTTATCAGTAAGAGTTGTTGGCCATAATCCTGGGTCCTCTGACAATCCCTCACCAGTATCCCTAAGTCTCTCATTCTCTTCTCTTTCCTCTTCAGCTCTGTCCTCCTGCTCCTGACTACCTTCATCACATTCTTCACTTTCCCTCTCATCACTTATATGAATATCAACCTCATCTTCTATTTCTGCCTCTGCTACAAGAGGAAATAATTACAGTTTAAAGTTTAAATGTGTACAATAACAATGTACCCATTTTGCTTATTTCCTCTTATAACACTTAATTAATAATCACTAAGTGTTAAAACAGGCAATTCCGCTAAAAGCTCACCTTGTCTCACTGTCACATTCACCTCACTGTCACTGCTTTCACCTGGCCATGATGAGGGGCCTACTGCTGCAGCAGGGTCTGAAACTGAAATATATGGCTTCAACTGGTTGCTAAAATATCCTTTATTGTCACAATACCTTTTTTTAAAGTGTAGGCTAAGTACAAGTTAATTGATGATTATTTGTCTGTTTAAAATAAATGCAGACTATAGAATCACAGGGTACACTAACCGCCAAACTAGACATTCAGTCAGTTACGTTTTAAAATAAGTCATTTTCAATCATTAAGATGTGCATTAAACTGAGAACAATCCTGTACTTTAATGTAAGAGCGTGCGCGAGCTAATTTACATAACAATGCGGTAAAATAGGCGCTAACGATCTGTGTTTTCGCGGGTGTTAGATTGACAACGGAGGGAAATATGCAACTGGGACAACTGCAGCAGAAGAGGAGACAATTGCGCCGCTGCCTGGAGTGGCAGTGTGTTGAGCTCCCAGCTCCGCCTCCGTCTGCTTCTCACTCCCTGTTATTTACCCAGAAACATTGTTTGCTCGCTATGTAGGGTGTAATACTATAAAGTATTGGTATATTATTCAAATAGAGTACGAACATAAATGTATGCTTTTCTACCTGGAGTAGATATTTATGTTAAAACAACAATGTCAATGCTCGATGATGCATTTGGAGCTCACCTTTCTTTTCAAAAAACTGAGTGAGCAACTGCTTGCCCTCATTTGCCTTTCTCTCTTTAATCTTATTTTCTTTTCGTTTTTGAGCCCCTGATTTTCCTTTCTTAAGGAAAGACATCCCCTGTAGTTCCTAACACGGCTCACTCCAGCTCCTGTCTCATCAACTGATTCACCGCGGGTCCGCAGCAGAAGCACCTGACCTGCGGGTCGTACCATTTACATTGATTCGAGAGGGGTGGTGGGGCCCTGCACAGCATGAAAATGACTTTTTTTTTATACCAAACCAGTGCCTGACTTCAAGTTTAGTTTTGCACAGGAACTTTTTTATTTGTACATTAATGCTATACAAATGTTAGTGCATTTATATGCATGTATAGAAAACTGACTTCTAAGGCCCTCGGGCCCTGGGTACTCGGTACCCTTTACCCCCCCCAGTCCGACGCCCCTGCTTGCAGGTGTTCAAGATAAACAAAGGATGGAAAAAGATGTAGCGATAATCAGGGGCTCGTTCTTCGTACGTCGCTAACTCAGTTAGCTGGATTTGATTGTTGGCAATTTGGCATGATCTTGGATTGTTTGGTTCTTCGACGCTCATCCTGGACTTGCTGTCATAGCAACAGGTGCGCAAGCTTGAACCTGCTCGCGAGCAGGCTTATTTCATGTTAACAGGATTAGATCGCGGCTTCATAAGCGGAGCTGATACGGGAAGTCCATAGCGCATCGCGATAGTGTATTTTTTGAGAGATGATATTTTTCTCATGACTCGTGAGGATGTCGTTTACATCATTAATTTGTTGGAAACGCATAAATGTTCGACTCGTCGGAGTCGGGCTTTAATAGCAGGCAAGTCACTATTGCGATTCTTATCCAGATTCAACTGCCTTTTTAAAATTTGATATAATACTAAGATTAGTATTATTTAAAATTTGATATAATACTAAGATTAGTATTGTATCAAATTTAAAAAAGGCAGTTGACTGACTAAAATCTCTTAGATGGTGTGTGACTAGTTCCATATCACAAATATGGATCTGTGCATGACTCAAGAATTTTCAGAGATTTATGCACATTATTTGAACATGGTAAGGAAAAATATAAATATCAAGCTCACTGTATTACATAGGCCGACATGCTTATCCTAACAGAACTGAATTTTTCCATTAAACAGGTGATTACAACAGGATCCTGCTTGGAGACAGGTGTTTTATGACCCCATTCCCTGACCCAAACCCCAGACCAGTTGCAATGCAGCTCTAGCCAGGACAAGGGCACACAATGAAGTGAACTTTAGCCAACTAAAGTGTCTGAAAAGTCTGAGGGTTGCACCTGACAGGGCCTGTGACATGGGCCATATTACACAACATTGCACCATCAGAAAAAATATAAAACATTTCATTAAATGTTTAATAAAAGACAAGACAAATATGCTTAGTTCCTTGATTTTTATTTTAATTGTTCTTTGTAAAGAAAAGCCAGTGATCAAGTCATCTTTTGCCTGCAAATAATATATATTGTACTCTGTGTGCTAAAATAATATATTAGCACTTACTCTGAAGTTCCTATGAAGCAACTCTATCTCTAGTGCCAGTTTTTTTTTTTTCTTTAAGTTGTCAAGTATTTTCAAAATACTCTGTTTTCTAGGGGTAGGGGTAAACCTGTCAAACACATGGCTCATGCATCAAAAATTAAAAGGAAAAGTACAACACTGCCCACCTCTGCATCACTGCTCTTCTGTAGATGTGGACTCCTGCAACTCATATTAGAAATAATAGGTACTCAAGTGTAAATTAAGTAAAGCTATTTATGCACTTTAAGATACCTGAGAGGGTTTCTTCACTGTCCTGCGCATTGGGGGAAAAATGGCCATTACAAAGTGTTTAGCTACTTTCTTCCCTTTTGATGTAACATTAGAAAAAGTCCACTTACTGCATATACTTGGGAACACATACAAGTGTTTATGTATTGTTTAATACTGCACAAAAGAGGAAAACACAATTTCATTACAATGAAGTACACTGGGGGGAAATGTAATCAATAACTCAAGGCAACATATTTTTTTTACATTAACTATGTAGTTTCACAGTCACTCATGTAGACTTTCACAAGTCAAAGCAATTCATTGCTACTCAAGGTTTAACAGCTGATATGACTGGACAGCCATTTGGATGATAGGCCTACTTAATTTAATGCAGCAACAAATTATTTTACAGTGTAGGATCATTTAAAGTTCATTTCCCAGCAGTGAAGGTGTTCTGCTCCTGGCCTCTGGCTGTGGGTCTGAGGAAGAGCTGAACCCAGGGATGCCCTCCACAAGGTTCACACTCAACCCAAGGGTCAGCTCTTCTGCCTGGGTATAATGTGGGGGTGCAAGACCACCACCTCACTTGGTTGTTTTTTCGTTGTTTTTTTCTCAGCCTTTTTCTTGGTTGCTTTTATAAACAGGCAAACATTTATTAACAGTGCCTTTTTAAAAGACATTAGTTAGTAGGCTACAAATTACTATTATGTAGAATATTCTAGTACTTCACTTTTACTTGTTCCCATGTTCTAGTAGTGGGTGGTGACCCTGACATTACAATGAACAAAGTTATTAATTATTTAGAAATTATTAAAATATAAAAATATATACTGTAATAAGTGATAAAAACATCTAACTACAAACTTAATTTGTCTGCTACGTTTTGCCAGCCCTCTCTCTTGGCTTTTTCACACTTTGAGGTGTTCCCTGGCGTTTTAATTAAGTTTTCAAATTCTGCATATCCTTCAAGCAATAACTCTTGCTCTTCTGTGGAGAAAAAAACTGAGCGCGCTCTTTGGCCACGGTGAGCAGCCAATAGCAGCGTTGCTGATCAATGTTTCTACTATCGATACATATTGCCAGCCCTCTCTCTTGGCTTTTTCACACTTTGAGGTGTTCCCTGGCGTTTTAATTAAGTTTTCAAATTCTGCATATCCTTCAAGCAATAACTCTTGCTCTTCTGTGGAGAAAAAAACTGAGCGCGCTCTTTGGCCACGGTGAGCAGCCAATAGCA